TTGCTTTTTGGATCTCAACTGGAGGTGCACAGGGGTTACTCCTGGCTCTGCACTTAGGAATTACTCCTGACAGTGCTCAAGGGACCATATGGGGTGCTGGGAATTGAACCCGGGTCAGCCGTGTGCAAGGTAAAACGCCCTACCCGCTGTGCTCCAGCCCAAAAACCTTGGAGTCGTAATAGCTTAGAACCCTAGAATGAACCTCGCTTGAAAGAAGAGCATTCTCAAAGTGTGCCACCACAGCCAACAGCTGAAACCCGTCCGTTGGCTTGCAGCCTTACTTTCTCTTAAGAGCTGTCTTATCAAAGCTGGCTTCATGTGGCAATGAGCCACCGGTTTCTTAGTGCTCCTTGTCTTGGAACACTAAATTCACTCACGGACGAATGAATTCATTTAAGTTGCAGAAAGGTCGGAATTGGTGCTGAGTTCGGTGGACCATGCATATCGTGGGCAGGTGGCCAATATTTATTGATATCTATTGACATCAGCATAAAAATCAACATCCTCGTTAACCTCTGAGGTGTGATTTTCAGATAGATGATGGTAAGGGCATCATTCTCCCTCCCTTCCCGCAACACTGCAAGCTTGTCCAAGTCTCCCATTCTGATGTGAACAAGGAAACTACCTTCAGCTGTTTTTAGGTTACTTGCCAGTCTTTCCTTTTCTGTTCTTCATTTCCTTAGAGGTCTTAGTCAACCTCAGATTTAACTCTCCTGCTGCTCTCTGCTTCCGTTCCTGAGCTCCTTGTTCGATGTCCTGCATGATATCCTTGTTTCAATCGCCTGCTTAGATGTATTTGGAATTGAGTGACTTAATACTGCCTAGTCCTATTGAACACATGTCAGACTCAATTTCTGTTTTGGTTTTTCAAGCCACACCCAGCAGTGCTCAGAGGCTACTCCTGGAATGTTGCATGGAGGTTGCTCCTGGCAGTGCTCAGGGCACTGCCCAGTGCCAGGATCAAACTCAGGCATCCTATATGCATCTCTCGTGTGCTTGCCGGGTGTGCTTCTCCCCAGCTCTCTTAGCCTTTATTTTTATTTTTAGCTTTTTGGGTCACACCCGGCAATGCTCAGGGGTTACTCCTGGCTCTGCAATCAGGAATTCCTCCAGGCTGTGCTCAGGGGACCATATGCGATGCTGGGAATTGAACCCGGGTTGGCTGCATGCAAGGCAAGCTCCCTACCCGCTGTGCTATCACTCCAGCTTAGCCTTTATTTTAATGAGTGTCTCTAATGTGTTTGACGTGCATGGTCACCCCTGACACTCCATTGGTTTGCACTCTATCGGTTGCTCTCCTCAGAAATTTTTTTTGTGCTTAGTTTGACATTGTTCTTATGGAAACACAAGAGAGAGGGCAAACAATTTTTTTCTTCACTGGAGCCAGCGCCTGCATGGCGTTGCCGGTTCTCCCCTGGTTTGCGTGGCTATTTCCGGGTGTTATTTTTGCTTCTTCTGACAACCCAGGGAGGTGCACATTCCTTCGCCGGGGGCCTCACTTCTCCCTGTCAGTGTGATTTTGAGTGTGCATGGCAGACCCCTCTGTGAGAAGTGCACTCCTAGTTCTGTGTGCTCTGAGTTCTGTGACAGACTGTGACAGCCTCCCTCCCCCAACCCCCACCTTGTTGTTTTTTTTTTGAGTCTGAGTCAGTGGGCTGAAAAATGAATGAGCAAATAAATACAAATTATTGTTGTGGATGAGAAGTGTTTGAGGTCTCTAATGGAAAATGTTTTGTGACCAGAAAAGGGTCAGGGGAACTGAGCATTTGTAGAGAAGTCTGCTTGTGGTCAAAATTATTTCACTGTAAGTCATTTTCCTTGAAGCACAGGTTTCTAAGAATCTGTAAGTGATAGCAAGTGAGGGCTTACTGTGTTTTTCTTACCATCTTTCTCCTTTGGGTTTTTCCCTTCATGCACTCCTGGGTTCATTTCCCTTGGAGCTCTGTGCTCAGTCTACAGTTCTTCCCATAGACAGCCTGGCTCTAGTTTCATATTGAGACCCTGGAGAAGTAATACAGCAGGTAGGATGCTTCTCCAGAATCCCATTTCGTCCCCCATGCCCTGTCAGGAGTGATCCCTGAGCACTGCTGGGTGTAGCCCCCAAACCAAAAATAAAGTCTTTCCATTTTGAGATCACTAGCTTTGATGCTGATTTATTTATTTGGTCCCTCCTAAGCTGTGCTCGGATAACCCAGGGGCCACTCGTATTGATATCTGCTCCTAGGGCCTAAGAGCTATGCTGTGTCCAGTGGTGCTGAGTTCTGTTTGACCACTGGGCTATCTCCCAAGCCCTTGTGTTTTTTTTTTTTTTATTTTTAATTCCAGGGATCAAAAACTAGACCTCACATATGCAACCACTGAGCCAGATCCTGACCCATTTTGTCTAATTGAAGACTGGACTCCAGCTTCAGAAGGAAGTGATTGAATGGCATCTAATGAATGACTAGAAAGGCCTAAGCAGGCTTTAGTGCCTGCAGACAGGGTTCAAAGTCACCTGTGCACAGGACACACATAAGTAACGGCAGCCTCAAGCTTGCTAGATATGTGGACGCCAGGCAGACAAGGGTAGCAAGAATTCCATCGACCTAAAGGGGTCCCCCATGATCTCTCCCTGGGTTTTGTAGAATAGCTCCGGAGTGTGGGCAGGTGTTTGTAGGACTCCGTGCTTACAGAGGAGAGCTGGGGATGGCAGAGCCTTTGTATTTAAGGAAAGGATCTGGTGGTGAGAGAGTGTAGGTTTTTCTTCTCTCGAGCTGGACTTTGCAGTATGACCCTGCTGCCACTTGGACAGTGATGATTACCAATCTCTTGTAAAGTGACTGAAATGGGGCTTGAGGAGATAACTTACTTGGCTGGACTGCAGGCATGCTTTGCACGTGGGCGCCCAGGGTTCGATCCCTCTGAGCACTCCAGGGAGCAGTCCTTGAGGCACCAATGAATGTTGTCCAAAGACCAAAATAGAGGTGACCCAAGTGCACAGACAGATCAGTCACTCTTGCAAATGGATTTACTTCCTGTACGCAGTTGCTCTTTCAAAGACGGAGTGTTGGCTACATTTTTTTCAAGTGAGTGATTCTGCAAATGATTTTGCTTATTCAGAAGGGTTTTTTCTCCCAAAGAGCTATGACTTAGTGACAACATCAAGGTTGATTTATGCTGGGGTTTATGGTTGTGGTGGTGGTGGTGGTTGTTGAGAAGGGGATGCTTAGTCTGGGGGTGGGGGGGGGGTCAGTGGTAATTCAAATCTTGTTTTCCTTCCTTACTTGTGACCTTGGGCAAGTTGTTCACCCCTGCAGAAGGGTGTGAAGCTGCCAGCTGGCAGAGCTCTTGAAGATTACTGCTTGTGCCCATAGGGCTCCTACTGCGGGGGCTGGCACCCAAGGGAACTGCACCCCTGCAGATCCTGTCATCATCTTCCTTGGAAAGCGCACAGACCCTTCCTAATAGAGGCATAATCTGGGTCCTGAGGTTTGTTCTCTGGCCCACTTGACAGGTAGATGTGCTTGCTCTTCGCCCTGTGCATCAAACTGTGAGGTGCAACTTACAAAGACAGGCGACATAGTGGTGGAACCAAATGGAAAATGGTTATTTTCTGTTTTGTTTTTTTTTTCTTTTTCACCTGTAAGAGCAACAGCATGTTGTTTCTTTGCTTTACAGTTCACTTTCAAGAATATTGCCAAATACACTGAAGATTTTTTGCCACATGTTTGCCAGAATATTTAAGTTGATTGCAACTTTAGGGCGTTTCCCCTCAATCTTGCATAAATCTTAGTTTTCAATTTTTCAGTATAACCATACATATTATAGACATAGAGGTGCCTTGATTTCATTGCCTCACACTTCATTTGCTTTTGGAAAGACTTTTTAGAAGATGAAACGAGGAGATTTAAGATAGTCTCTTTTGTTTATTGGAAAATATGCTTGGAAAAACAATTCTCATTACTTTAGAAGGCTTTTAAAACTTAGATTATGAATAACTTTATATAAAAATGTTACATCTTTGCAGGTATACCATCTTGTATATAAGATCTACAGTACTCTAACATTTTTATCACAGAATAAAAGGTATTCTCAAGATTTAAATTTTAAGATGATAATTATATTTTTATTTTTTCATATTTCCCTCTTTCCTTCCCTCTTTTTTATTGTGGTTGTTCCTTTGATGGTTTGGGACATACTAGTTGCATACAGGATTGCACATGAAGCTCTGGGGATTGTACCCAGTGATGTGGGGTGATGCCAAGATTGAACCGTCAGCCTCAGGCATGCAGAGTTGGTACCCTACCACTGAGCCACATCCCTGGGTCCAAAGCTGAGTTTTTCAATTCCAACTGTTATAGACCCAGTTTCACATAACTACAATCATTATGTGAAATATTAAGTGTATTAATTATTCCTTTGGATATTTGAAAATTGATAACAATTGGGTTTTTTTTTTCTTTTTGGGTCACACCTGGCGATGCACAGGGGTTGGCTTTGCACTCAGGAATTACCCCTGCCGTTACTCTGGGGACCATATGGGATGCTGGGAATCAAACCCAGGTCAGCTGAGTGCAAGGCAAACGCCCTAACCGCTGTAACATTTTTTTTTTTTTTTTTGGTAAATGGTGGCAGTGTAAGGTTGATCTAAATCTTAAAGTATGTTTTCCCATATTTTAATGTAACTTAGTGTTATTATTTGCCACTAGCCCTGACAATACAAGTGGTAAAAATGTAATGAATGTGTGCAAAAGAGGCATTCTGATTTCTGCCGCGGGCAGAATTAGTTAATGATATTCATTCAGATGCAGGATGGTACAAATGGGGCATATTAAGAAGCTTAAATTAGGTCAAATTGAATAATTGAATTTATTCCTTTACTTAAAAACAGCTTAATCAGCTGAGAGTGCTAAAGCCTGAAAAAAAAGTTTGTTTAAATATTAATAGGGAGTTTGTGCGTTCCGCTTTATCTTCATTTACAATGATTGCATATGTTTTCCCTCCTTTGTCACCTTTTATAGATACTCGGAGATGAAGTTCAGCCCTTCTCACTCGATGAGGATTTTGATTATGACAGTGTGGTGCTAACCCCCAAGTTCACCCCGGCAGAGATGAGAGCCATTCAAGAGCGACCCCAGCAGAACAGAAAGAGTGCCAGCACCGACGTCGAGGCGCCCCACGACCCACTCACCGAGACGTCTTAGTGCCACTTTCCTTTTGTTTTTAATTTATTAGAATTCGAATTAAGTCTTTTACAGTCCCCTTCCTAGGAATGTATGTGTGAACAGATTGATCAGAGTTATTTGTTCGAGGGAGATGTGAGTAACGAGACCAAGGATATCTCCCGCCCCTTTGAATACTCTTCTGTTAATGTTGCTTCATCCTCTGGCTGATAGAGGGTAATGGGAATGAAGACAGGAAGCAACATTTACTGAAATATCTTTTATTTTGTTTTTTAACAAATTCGTACATAAGACTCTAAATGTTTTCACGGGGACAGTCTTGCTACCACACACCCACCACTCAAGTACTAATTTATCTTTCCATCGCAGTCCATTGAAGGCTTCATCATTTTAGCCCGTTCCCCCCCCCCCCTCCACTCTGATGAACTATAAAGGTTTTCTTTCATTTGTTTCTTTATATACCGCAGATTACAAAAGAGTGAGATCATCAGGCATTTGTCTTTCTGTTTCTCCACATGTTTTGTCTAGGCTTGGCTTTTGCTTTTGGGGCCCATATTTTTTTAGGGGGGAGGGAGGTGCCAGGGATCAAACCAGGGTCTCACGCATGTAAGTTAACTGCTCTTTCGCCAAGCCTCTTCCCTGACACATTGCACATTTTTGTTGAGAACACTCTGACGAGGTAATGGTGGGGTGTGTGACGAAGATTAGGAAATCATCCCACCTTCTTGAGGAAGGATAATTACATACAGAGCACATTGTCACGCCTAGAATAAAACTGATTAGGTGGTAGATCTCTGGTCTTAGCTACCCAGAGGTAGTGGGACCACTGTGAATACTGAGTTGGGCTTCTAGAATTGATTGGGAAAACTTTGAACAAAAGAGAAGTCACCTGAAAATTGATTATATGTCATATATTAAAATTCTGCACTTTGTTATTACTTTTGAGCCAGGTGTGAGAGTAATTTTAAAATACAAGGAATCCCCCCATGTCTTCAGTAGCTTAAAATGTAATTTGAAAAGGTAAGACAGAGAAGCAACTAGAGAATGTAAAAACAGAGTGCTGTGGAGAAAACCCATGGTGTGTTAAGAGGAGAAAAGAAGGAATATCACAGAAGAGAGGGGGATATGTATAAAGCATTTTTTTTATCATTGAAGGAATCAATAACAGAGAGAAATGTAGCTATTCTTAATTAGTTTTTATACAGGCCGTTACTTCTGCGTATGTGTACTTGTACATGTGTATATAACTACAAAAATGCCATTTGTAATCTTTAAGAAAGAGTATTCTTGATTTAATGTTGCAATAGAGTCAAGTGATTTCTCCATCTATCTTTCTTTAGTGAACAAACTTAAAAAACTCCACTTAAGTGCCAACCCTTATGCTAGGCAATATAAAGGTTCCTATAAATTAGACATAGTCTGACTTATTGGGGAAGACAAATGAATACACAAATAATTACAGTAGAGCTTCTGTGTTTAGTAGAATAGCCTCTGGGCTGTATGTGACTACTGAGCACTTGAAATGTAGCTAGTGTGACTAAGGGAGTGAATTTTAAATCAGAATTTTATTTCAGTTTAAAACAAAAGTCGATGCCCAGGGATTGGAGCTCAGTGTTAGAATGTATGCCTACCACAAGTAAAGTCTTGAGTTTGATACCCACCACCACAAAAGTACAAAATAAATGGAAATAGAAGTTGCACTTTGATGCAGTTATTATGAAACTTTTTTGTTTCTCAAGTACATTTGTAACAAGTTGTATATGTCAGTCTGCTTTCTCTAGTATAAATTTTATGACACCAAATCCAGATTATTTTTGATGACAATGTAGTGACTATATTTAAAGTGTTATGAATGTAAACTACACATTGGATTTCAAAGAATTAATGTAAAAATGGTAGAAATCCTTGTTTTATATATATATATTTATATTGGTTACATGTAGGAACAATATTATGTACATGCCTGTTTAAATAAAATTTATAATTATAATTAAACGAATCTCTTTTTAATCTTTTAATGAAGCTACCAGAGCCCCAAACCATACATATGATTGGGATATTTTTTATATGACAGCACTGAAGTCAAGTGTAATCTGTCTTGTGAAAATAGCGTGTGCAAGACTTTGTGGAGTATTGATAGCTGGAGTTCACTAATGCTCCTTCAAGAGCTGAGGATTTCCATAGAGGAAGTTACTTTTGAGGTTGGTCAAGAAAAATCAGTAGAAACTTTTGATTTAAATAGTTTGTATGAGAGATAAGAATCTAAGTCATTGCAGGTAGAAATGAAAGGTATGGATCTGATTGGATATTTCAAGGCTTAACTAGCAAGGTTTGTTGACACATGCAATGTTTGAAAGCCAAGACAAGAGGTCAATACAAGATTTTAACATGAAATATTTGTACCACACTGACTTGGAGGAATTGCCATATTGCGATGTAATTGTGCATAAAAGCAGAGACTGGCCATGGCCCTGGTTTGAATCCCCTGCTCCCGTGTGGTCTCCTGAGCACTTTTTTGGGCTTACTTCTGAACACGGAACTAGAAATAGTCTCTAAGCACCACTGGATGTTGCCCAGACCCATGCCCAACTTCTCCTCCTTAAATTTTACTAGTATATTTTTATTAATTAGGTAAGGTGGATAGCAAATGTTGTTGCTGACCTCTATCTGTAAAATTGGTATACTAGCGTTTGATTTCATTCCTTTTGGCAATTTCTGCTTTTGGGGGGGCAGTAGTTTAATATAGCATATTTATGGTGGGTCTGTTCCTTGAGGCCTCTTGTTTGAGGACAGTTTTGTCTCAATTGTGCTGTTATTTCTGTTTTGTTGTTTGTCTTGGGCCATATCCCACAGTGCTCAGGGGTTAGCTACTCCTCGCTCTGTGCTTGGGGGTTGCTCCTGGCAGTGTTCTGGAAACCATGCAGTCATGCATTGTCTGGGATCTAAACTGGATTTCCCACTTGCAAAACATGCACTGCAGCCCTTTGAGTTAACTATCCAGACCCTGTACTGTTCTTCTTGCCCTACTCAGCACTGGATCTCCAGGGCTACCTTTCAGCCTAGTGAATTCTTTGAATTGTATTACAGGGTTTGTTTCACATCTACGGGAAAACCTTTAAAAAGAGCCTTAAGAAGCAGCCTGCAGGCCAGAGCGATAGCGCAGCGGGTAGGGCGTTTACCTTGCACACGGCCGACCTGGGTTCCATCCCCAGCATCCCATATGGTCTCCCAAGCAACTCCAGGAGTAATTCCTGAGTGCAGAGCCAGGAGTGACCCCTGAGCATTGCTGGGCATGACCCAAAAGGAAAAAAAAAAAAGAAGCAGCAGCCTGTGCTTTCCTTGGTTCTATAATAACCATAGAGGTCAGATGAATACAAATTAGCAGGTAAACAGAAATATATCTAAGTGCAGCACCAAAATGGGAGGGAGAAATGGACATGAAAAGTGTTCAAGAATCTAGAACAGAGGGATGACTAGATAGTACAGAGGGTATGGCACTTGCCTTGCATATGGCTGACCCAGGTTCCGTCCCAGCATCTCATGTGGTCTCCTGAGAACTGCCGGGAGTGATTCTTGAGCACAGAGCCAGGATTAAGCTCTGAGCACTACTGGATATACCCCCAATCCCCCTCTCCAAAAGAATCTAGAACAGTGTGATAATTTCAACCCCAAAATAGCATGAATGGAGAAATTTTATTTCTGGTCTGCCCTAACCAGTTCAGTGTGGGGGTCCATTGGGCAGGTTGCTCCTTCAGATCTTCCTAGGTACAATTTCAAGAGAAGGTTAGCATATATATTAAGACCTGCCTGATATTGAATTTCCTAACTATTTTCATCAAGAATTCTCTTTTCTGGGGGCCAGAGTGATGGTATAGCAGGTAGGGCACTTGCTTTGCATATAGCTAACCCATGTTCATCTTTGGGACCAGATGTGGTCCCCCAAGCACCAGAGGGTATGGCCACAGTGAGGAGAGAATAAAGAAAGAATATCAGAAAATATTTGCTGAAGACACCTACCTACCATTTTGTAATGCTGTTGGTATTTGTCACGCTTGGTCTTGTGTTGTTTATTTGTATACGTGCTTTCCCTGCAATCCCAAGGGCAAACAGCAAATCTCATTCATTCATTCATTCATTCATTCATTCTAAAATCTTTAGTAAGCACCATATCTTAGGCATTGCGCTTCTTATTTTGACATTCTTTCCTCACAAGATCCACTTTTATGAGTGCCAAAAGAGTGGATCATATTAAGACTTAGCCATTCAATTAACATGTATGTAGTATCAGATTTCTTTATTACAATTTCTCAAAGATTCCATTTCGTTCCCCCCCCTCCCCTCCCCACCCCTGTCCCCATTTCCTTTTGTTCTGGCTGCAGTGACCAAGCCAGCAACTACACCTGGCTGGCTTGCTGATCACACATTTCTAGCGTGGAACTTGCTGGGAGTCAGTCACACATCAGGCTGTGTTGCTTGCACACTCGGCCAAGCTGCTCACCAGAATTTTCACACCTTTTGCCCTGGTGCTTACACGAGCGTTTACTCTCTTACTTGAGGCAAACGCGTTCTGGTTGTGGTGCTCTCCTGGGGTTGTTGTGGTGCTCTCCTGGGGTTGCTGCTGTGACTCACCAGCAATCGCCAGTTTTGCAGGGGTACTTGCAGAGCTCTTTCGTGGGGGTGCTCACCAGGGGTCGCATCCCTCCTCCTAGTGCTCACACAGACTTTGTTGTGGAGTGGGGGAGTGGTAACAGAAATTCTCCTGGTGCTAGGATCACAGACAGCAGAGTTGCCAGGTTCCAACTGTTAGGACTACACTTGGCCAAGGTGGAACACAGGGGATGTGAGCTCGTGACCAAAATGTTTGTAAAGCAGGTATTCCCAAGCACTGTGTTATTTCTCCAGCCCTCTGTGTTAGATTTTGTTACAGAAATAATGTCACGAACCCATTGGGTTTATAGTAAAGAAATTAATTAAAAATATCTGCCCAAGCTGTACTTGAATGTTGACTTACTGACATAGCTATCAGGAAAAAAAAAAGGTAATTCTATTCAGTACAAAAGTGGGAGAGAAAGATTCAACAATAAAATTCTAATGTAAGTAAATTTTGCACGAAGGCACAGAGGAAGCTCCTTTGGCGTCAAAATAATAGCAAGCCAGTGATAAAGGTTATGGTACATGATATATAATTATAATTCTTTTCATGTCTATAAAAATGTGCAGT